CATAACGTGCACACTTACCAGGTATGTGGATTTTAGAAATACCTTTCTAGGGGTTCTCATGGCACTCTAATGTATGATGATATTTTTTCAGGGAGGGTTATCAGAGCTGCTCAGCATATTATATCAACCTGGCACTGCATCTGAGCAGCTCTGCATTTACTGTGAGAATCATGGAGGAGCAACGGGCAGTTTGAGTGAACTGCATTAACAACTGCATTAGCCTGCATATTAATGGTTCAAACCTCAGTTTTTAGCTCTAAAATAATGTTTTTCAATTAGCAACGAAAGGTTTTGAGTGAGGTGCGTAAATTAGTTCAACACATGTTTTCAGAACAGAAACATTACAGATATCTTGAAATAAAATATGTGAACAATGTCTTGAGGTGTGACTCCAGGCCGTTAAAATTATTGGAGAAATAATGCACTGCCGAAATGGTAATGTGGCCATGATGCTAGAGTCTGTTAATGGAACGGTCTTTCTCTGTTCTCAAACGAACTACATTCCTTCCAAAAATGTATATTGCCTGTTTGGTTCCCAGTGTTTCTGTGTCTGTTTCCAGCTCCTGTTTGCCTTGTGCTTGATTTGTCCTCGTAGTTACCCAGTGTTGGGCAAGCAACTTGGAAAATGTAGTGAGCTAAGCTAACAGTTACTCTTCATTAAATAAAGCTTCACTACACTACACTAAAGCTACTGTCACATGTTTGTTTCTGTTTAGTTCATGTCTGCCCTTATTTAGTTCCGTTCCTGTTCTCGTTTAGTTAATCCTCGTTCAGTCAAATTACCTGTGTTTAATCATCTCGTTTGCTCCTTTGTTCCCCTTTCTTTATATGGCTTCAGTTTCGTTCTGTTCTTCGTCCTGGATTAATGTTATTTTTAACGGTTATAGTGTGTTGATGTTTATTAAAGACTCCTTTACTTCTACTCCCTCTCCATGCGCATTTCCTACAACCACTACCACGTGAGAGCTACAGCCCTGGGAAATGTAGCAAGCTAAGCTACAGCAACATGGCAAAAGTAGTTTGCTACATCTAAGCTATTTTTTAAAAATTTCATTTTTATATTGAACCAACATCCTACCAAGTCAGTGCTCTCTCAGTGATCAATAAAACTGTCAGTCAAGCAGATAGACAGGCATAATAGTTCAGTTTACTTGTTTATTCAACAACTCTTCCAAACCAATTTGGCAACAAAAATCAGTATCATGTACACATTTACCTCGTATTGTGACATAATGCAAAATACATTTTTGCTGTCTGCCGGAAACGTCCTATTGAC